TTCCTGTGGCTCACAGTCTGAGGGTGCACAGTCCATCACGGCGGGGAAGGCATGGCGGCAGGAGCAGGAGGCTGCGGGTTTCCTGTGGCTCACAGTCTGAGGGTGCACAGTCCATCACGGCGGGGAAGATGTGGCGGCAGGAGCAGGAGGCTGCGGGTCACCTCACGTCCACAGTCAGGAAGCCGAGAGAGATGGATGCTGGGGCTCAGTCACTTTCTCCTTTGTATTCAGTCCAGGACCCCAGCCCATGGAGTGGTGCTGTCCACATTCAAGATGGGTGTCCCCACCTCAGTTAAGCCAACCTAGGGCCCCCCTTACAGACATGGCCAGAGGTGTGTCTCCTAGCTGGTTACCTGCTGAGGGCCGCTGGGGAGGAGTCCATGTCTAGGCTGCTGAACCCGACACCTCCACTCTCAGCGTGCACACACCCTCGTGCTCCGACTCCTACAGCCAGAGCACTAGCATCCTGCCGGCCTCCTGTTGAGGGGATGTGCCTGTCTGCCCTGTGCCGACTGTGCTGGCAGCACCCCGCTGCCCGCTCTCTTGCACATTGGTGAGCCCCCTGGACTCACGCCAGGCAACTGCACTGTCTCTCGTCACCTTTTGATTAGATGAAGGGAGGCTGGACAGGTCCATTAGTCTTTCGTTCTTGTAACAAATACCTGGGGTCATCATCTAACAGAGGCAGTGTGTGATTGGTTCTGGGTTTAGCTTAGCTGGGGTCAGCTGACCCCACTGCTTCAGCCTTGGCAGGGCCGCACAGCATAGCAGGGACACGTGACCTTAAAGCTGCCCCCTCATTGGAGGCTGGAATCAGAGCGGTAGAGAGGGGCTGGGGCCCTTTCATTACCTTCAAAGGCATGCTCCCTGTGCTGGCTAGTTTTGGGTTTTGTTTTTGTTTTTTGTCTGTCGATTTGATACAAGCTAGAGTCATCTGAGAGGAAGGAACCTCAATTGAGAAAATGCTCCGTGAGATGGTATAGGCAAGCCTGTAGAGCATTTTTAAAATTAGTGATTGTGTGAGGGCCCAGCCTGCTGTAGGTAATGCCACATCTGGGCTGGTGGTCCTGGGTGCAAAAGAAAGCAGGTTGAGCAAGCCATAGGGAGCAAGTCAGTAAGTCCCCAGCTTCTGCATCAGCTCCTGCCTCCAGGTTCCTGCCCTGATTTCCCTCAGTGATGGGCTGTGACATGGAAGCATAGCCAAGTGAACCCTTTCCTCCCCAAGTTGCTTGTGATCCGTGATGTTTCATCATGGGGGGTCTAAGGCACCCCCAATCCCTAACGTCCCCTCAGTAGACCCCATCTCTATAGATTTCTACCGTTTCCAGGTAGCACCGAGCTGAGGATCAAGCTTTCAACACTTGGGTCTTCAGGGCACACATGAGATCCAAACTATAGCCACAGGGTGGTGTGGGGCTCCCATACCACAGCCCTTCTTGCAGAGTTGAGCTGTGAGACCTGAGGCGGATCCCATGAGGTCATACCAAAAGTCACAGGTGAAGCCAGACTCAGATCTCTTCATTTGATGGGCATGGTGGTGCACATCTGTAATCCTAGCCACTTGGAAGGCTCAGGCAGGAATCAGGTCAGCCTGGGCTATATAGTGAGATATTCTCTTTCTCTCTTGGGGGGGGGCGGGGGGAAGACTTGCTTAGCACAATAGGAGCCCTGGGTTCAGTCCCTAGCACCTCATAAACTGGATGTGGCGAAGCACACTTGTAATCCCAGGATTTGGGAGCAGGAGGTGAAGGCAGGACCAGAAGTTCAAGGTCATCCTCAGGTACACAGGGAGTTTGAGTCCAGCTTGGGCTACATGAGACCCAGAGACCAGAAATCCCCACACGACTAGGGACAGGCTTATTGTGCAGTCTCTTCAGAGACCTGAGAGACACACGCCAGGGGCACTGGAGTCTTAGGAGCCTGCTGTTCCCAAAGGTCCTCATTGACCACAGGTCCAGGCCGGCAAGCAGAGACCTAACAGCTTCCTGTGTTTTGGGTGCTAATGGCCAGAGCATCTGGGGAACGGCAGAGAGGTGCTTAAGTGCAGTGGGCTGGGCGCGGACGATTGTGGCAAGGCACTTTCCCAGGAGGGTAAATAGATGATCTCAAGGGGCCTCGGAGGTTGCTAAGAACCCACCTGGCTAGGTCATCATGGGGCAGCCGGTCACGGCTGTTCTGGGGCTGGCCCGGGGCCGCACCTGCAGCTCCAGGCTGCTTCTGTCACCTAGGGCCCATTTCTGTTTGCTCAGTGGTCTGCGTGGCAGCTTTTTCCGAGGCGTTTTGTTTGGGGAGGCAGTGAGGCAGCGTGGCATGGTTCCTGCCTTCATCTCATCCGCCGTCGCCAGCAGCCCCTAATGGAGTGAAGCTCCACGGTCAGCACCTGCCACTGCGGTGCTGTTAGGCCAGGCCACCTGTTGCAGGCATTCATTTCTGCCCTAAACTCAGGAAATTGCCCAGGTAGGCATAGCTTCTCGGCAGCTGTCGGCAGGGAAGGACGGTTGGATAGGGATCTGGCCAGCTGATCCCGCATCCACATCTGGGTGAGCGTCTGAAGGCACAGTCATACAGGGTGTGCCTAGCATGTGCCCTTCTGAATTGAGAGCCTGTGAGGAACACGAGATTTAAGTAGTTCTCAGTTGGGAGATGGGGTTATTAGGAGGTACTTAACACCTGGGTTTTTATTTATTTTAACAGAGACACATTTAGCCCAGGCTAGCTTCAAACTCATTGTGTAGCAAGGAAGTTCTGGTCCTTTTGGTTCTACCTCCCGTACCTGATTTACAGGGTGCTGGGGATAGAATCCCTGGGCCTCATGCTTGCTAGGCAAGTGCTCTACCCATTGAGCTACATCCCCAGCCATGGTCATTGTTTTCCACGGAATGTCCTTTTCCAGTATAGCATTGCCTATTACAGTGTATGTATTATAGTATACAGACATTACTATGATAATAGTAATAGTGCTTAAAAAGGAAAGTGGGCGTGGTGTTGTGCACCTCAGCTGTCAGGAAGCTGAGGCAGGAGGATGCTGCAAGTTGTAGGCCAGCCCAGACTATGTAGTGAGACCTTGTCTGAAAAACTGAAATAATTCAATGTATGGCGGCACACGCCTTTAAGCCCAGCACTCAGTAAGCAGAGGCAGGCAGACTTTATAAGTTTGAGGCCAGCCAGGCTTGCATAGTGAGTTATAGGCCAGCCAAGGTTACATAGTGACATCCTGTCTCTAAAACAAACAAAAGGGGATGGGGAGATGGCTCAGTGGGCCAAGTGCTGGCTGTGTGAGTCTGAAGACTGGAGTTTGGGTCCCCAGCACCCACGCAAAGCTCTGCTCCAGGGTGTAGTCTGTAACTCAGTGCCCCATAGGAGTGGAAGCAGCCAGATCTCAGATGCTTGCTGCAGCCAGTCTAGCTGAACTCAATCTCGGGGTCCACTGAGAGACCTTGTCTCAAATAATAAGGTGCTTAGTGCTAGAGGAAGACACCTGGGGTCAGCCACTGGTTTCCACACTTACACACACTGCATCACACACAACACACACCCATACCACACACCGCATTCCACACACACTGCACTGCACACAGACACACACCCATACCACACACCACATTCCACACACACTACACTGCACACAACACACACCCATACCACATACCACATTCCACACACACTGCACTGCACACAACACACACCCATACCACACACCACATTCCACACACACTACACTGCACACAACACACACCCATACCACACACCACATTCCACACACACTGCACTGCACACAGACACATTCATACCACACACCACATTCCACACACACTGCACTGCACAAAACACACATCTATGCCACACACATTCCACACACACTGCACTGCACACAGACACACATCCATACCACACACCACATACCACCTACACAACACTATACCTACACTACACACACTACATTCCGCACGCACACACTACCTTAGTCAGGGTTATCATTGCTGTGATGAAACACCATGAACAAAGCAAGTTGGGGAGGAAACGGTTTATTTGGCTTGTACTTTTGTATCACTGTTCATCATCAAAGGAAGTCAGGGCAGGAACTCAAGCAGGGCTGGAATCTGTAGACAGGAGCTGATGCAGAGGCCATGGAGGGGTGCTGCTCACTGGCTTGCTCCTCATGGCTTGCTCAGACTTCATTCTGGGGTGTGTGTGTGTGTGTGTGTGTGTGTGTGTGTGTGTGTGTGTCTCGGATCTTATCCAAGGATGTTCCGACCCACAGTGAGCTGGGCCCTCCCACATCAATCACTAATTAGGAAAAGGCCCTCTAGGCTTGCCTACAGTCTGATATTGGAGGCATTTTCTCAACTGAGGGTCCCTCCTCGCTGATGACTAGTTTGGGTCAGTTGACATAAAACTAGCCGGTATGTATAGTACATACACTCCATTCCTTACATACCATACAGACTACTTTCCACATACCCACCACACCCCCACCGAACACAGTACATTTACACACGTATACCACATGCACAACAAAAAAAGGAAGAAAAGAGAAATTAAAAAATAAAGAGAGCCTGTGAAGGCCCCTGGGTAGAGGCACTTGACACCAAGCCTGACTACCTGAGTTTAATATCCAGTGTCCACAAGGTGGAGGGGGGAACCAACCCCCGAAGATTGTCCTCTGACCTCAAGTGTACCGTGACCTGCATGCATGCATGTATGTACCCATGTGCGCATGCACACACACACACAAATAAGTAGTGTAATAAAGAACAAAATACTGAGGATTGAGGAACCAGCCCTCTGGGAAGCCCAGTGTAGCTCTGAGGCTTGAGTGTAGTTGAGACAGTCTGGGGTGTCCCTGGCAGGTTAGGCTCTAAGACAGCGAGCGTCCTGGGAACGAACAGACTCCAGTGCTGAGGTAGGGGAGGAACCCGACCTCCTGCTGCACTGAGGGCTAAGTCTTCCCGGGAGAAAGACCGGCCTAGACGGCAGCGTGGCTAGGTGAGGCCCTGATGCCTCTTGAGACATAGCAGGAACTCTGCCTCTTGGCTGGCCATGGTGGGGGATATGTGGGCTCCAGCCCATGGCTGCAAGTGGGCTCAACGGGTAAAGTAAGGGAAGTCACTGGGCCAGCGTGGCCCTGTCCCCACGCTAGACCCACCAGGCAGAAGCCTTTCCTGTGCCCTTGTACTTACTGACATCCAGGAAAGTCACTGAACACTCAGCCTTCAGGCAGGGAATCTCTGTGTCCTTCGCCAGGGCCGCCTCCCCAGGGTGGCTACTAGACTTGATGTCATTGATGGACAGAGATGTCGGGTGGCCTTTTCCTGATACGCGTGAGCTGTGGATAAGTGTGGGCATCCTGTTTGCAGGGGATAGGGCCACACTCACAGAAGGCAAAGAACTTACCAAGAGGTGGGGCCGAGGGAGAGGTTCAGTAGGTAGAGTGCTTCCTTAGCATGCACATAGCCCTCGCTAGGGTCTGTCCCCAGCACCACAGAAAGCAGGTGTGGTACTACATGAGTGTAAACCCAGCACTTGGGAGCTAGAGGCAGGAGGATCAGTTTATGGTCAGCCTCAGCTACACAGAAAGTTGGAGCTACGTGAGTCCCTGTCTCCCCGGAAGGGCTCCAGAATCTGCCCGCCCTTCCTCTCACTGGGTCCCGGGGCTTGTTTTCCAGGTGACGATGCCCGGCGAGCCTGTGGACGTGGCATGTGGTGTGGATCACATGGTGACTCTGGCCAAGTCATTCATCTGAATCTCCTTCCGGGCCCATCCCGGCCGGGTTGCTCCAGCCTCCGAACTATACTGACAGCAGCAGCTTGGCAGAGGCAGGGTGTGGCCGCCAGCACTGGGACACTGGGAGAGGGCCAGGGCCTGTGTGGAGCAGGATGCTTCTCACTCTGTGTCCTCAGTGGGCACATTATAATAGGAGTCTGTGGACAAGACCCTCCCCTGCTGAGGCTCCTGGCTGCCGAGCTCAGTTCTGGATGGTCGCTCTTGGCTTGGTGTGCTCCTGAGGAGTACCAGGGCACGAGGCCCTAGGTTGGCCAGGCTGACGCCCTTTTCAGGTAACATGGTGGCATCTGGGGATGCGTCTTGCCTGAGATACTATTCTTAGGGGAAGTTCATTATTCATGGCACATTTGATATGAAGAGATTGGAGATATGACAAAGCACTCAGGAGAACTTGTTCCCCTATCACAACAGGACACACTTGGGCTGCTGGCTGGCTCGGCTCAGCAAGAGAGCCAGCTGCCTTCAGCTAGGGCCTCTCTGATCAGCTGCACCCCAGACTCTTCATAGAGTGGCCAGTGTGAGCAGGCCTCCCCCCATGGCTCTACAGTATCCCAGCCTTGGAACCTCCTCGCTGCCTGGCTTTGAACAGTCCAGAAGCCCCTGAAGAAAAACTGCAGGCCAAATGCTTGTGGGCTGAGGGCTGTGGAATCTTGGCTGGAGGGCCAGCCTTGGAGTAGGAAGCCTCAGGAACTGGGAAAATGCTTGTTTTGAAGAAAGCTTGTCTTTTGCTTTCAGAACAGTGTTTGCAAAGTTCTTTTGGAATAAAGTCTGTTTTCTGACTTTTCTAAGAATGGACGTCTTATTTTCTCTGCAAGAATTTACACTTCTAGAAAAAGAGAACCCTCAAAATCACAGCTAATTTTGTCTGGCTTAGAATTCCTATTACTCTTCCCTCTGTGGGCACATTTGTGAAAAGATTGCCTACAAAAACTATCAATGAATAAACCCTGTTTATTTGTGGGGTGGGGGTGGGGGTTTTGGTTTCTCTGGGTAGCCCTGGCTGTCTCAGAACTTGCTCTGTAGAAACTCAGAGATCGACCTGCCTCTGTCTCCCTCCTGAGTGCTGAGATTAAAAGTGTGCACCACCACTGCTTGGCCATTTGGTGGATTTAAAAAAAAACAAAAGAATGGAGGTCTGGTGACTGTTTTACTCCATCATTTTGAGACCATAGAAGAGGCAAACAGAAGGCGATCCTACAGGGATGTGTGTGCGTGCGTGCGTGTGCAATTGAATGTGTGCATCATGTAGAGGTCAGAGGACAGTGTCGTGTGTGTGTGTGTGTGTGTGTGTGTGTGTGTGTGCAGTAGAGGTCAGAGGACAGTGTGTGTGTGTGTGTGTGTGTGTGTGTGTGTGTGTGTGTGTGTGTGTGCAGCTGCATGTGTGCATCATGTAGAGGTCAGAGGACAGTGTCAAGTCTCACCATTCCTCAGCTGCTATCCATCTTACTACTGAGACGGGGTATCACTTTGTAGACCAGGCTGGCCTTGAACTCAGCGTTCTGCTTGCCTTTGCCTCCAGAGTGCTGGGACTAAAGGTGTGCTCCACCACACCCAGCTCCACCTTATGTTTGGACACAGGATCTCTCCCACCCTGAAACTTCCCAAGAAGGCTGGCTGGAGAGTCCTGTTTCTATTTCCCCAGGGACGGAATTACAGGCCCGTGACACCATGTTCGCCTTCTTTACATGGGTTCTGGGGATTGAACTCAGACCATCAGCTTGTCAGGCAGGCACTTAACCCACTGAATCATCTCCCTAGCCCTTGGAAAGTATTTCCTGAACAGATAGATTCTTCAGCTGGGAAAATAGCTGGCGCCTGAGTCACTAATTAGGATCTTCCGCGCTGCCTGCTGCACCCCACCCGCTCGCTACTTGTTCACTCCGCAGGTACTTGTGGGCCCCTTAAGTGCAGGCGTGGGGCGCACTGAGTCATGTGGGTAGAAGAATCCCTGCTCTGTGCAGCTGGTCCTTGGGGAGGGAAATGGACATCGTACAAAATACACAGAGTATGGTAGCTGTGGAGGAGAGCAAAGGTTTACCCCAAGTACCTGACTGCAACAATTTAAAGGAGGACTTAATTGGGCTCCCAGTCTTAGAGGGTTCCAGTTCAGCATGGCAGGAAAGGCATGGCAGGGTCTGGGGGCTGGAGCTTGTGGGAGAGGCCTCTCACATCATGGCAGATCAGGAAGCAGCATCCAACAGGAGGTCGGAGCTGGACCGCCACCTTAAGGACCATCCCCAGCGACCTCCTTGTGTTGTCCGGGCCCCACATCTTTTAAAAGTTTAAATGTGTGCGCCACTTGTGGAGCACACATTCAACACATGAGCCCCCGGGGGACATTTCAGATGAGAACCCTAACATGGAGAAAACCCAACAAGGAAATGGGATGTGTTGGAAGGTTGCAGGTTAAAGGTGAGGGGTCAAGAAGCAGGATGTCATGGGGACCAGCTGGCTGGTGTTGGAGGAAATGGCTGTTTGGGCAGCTACAGGGCCCCTCACCCAGGCGGATGCTGCCCCGATTCTCTTTTAGGGCCACTCAGGCTTACAACGGGAAAATTTGCTGTGAACTTGAAGTTGAGGAGCTGGAGAGATGGCTCACTTAAGAACACTTACTGCTCTTCCAGAGGACCCGAGTTCAATTCTCACATCAGGCAGTTCACAAATGCCTGTTAACTCTAGCTCCAGGGGGCCTGACACCCTCTTCTGGCTTCCAAAGCATCTGTATGCAGGCAGGTACACATGCTCCCATCACCACATACCCGTGATTAAAAATGTTTTTAACTTAAAAAGTCCTTAGGAAAACAAAGGGGCCAGGACTGCAGCTCCGGTAGGGTCCTTGATTCTAGCATACAAGAAGCCCAGGGTCTGATTCCCAGCGCCTCCTAAATGGGATGTGGCAGCACATTCCAGTAACCCCCGCGGTGGCAGACCTCGAGGCAGGAGGATCAGAAGCTCAAGGTCATCCTTGGCTACACATTGAGCTTGAGGCCCTGTCACAATGAACTAAAAAAGCAAAACAAAGCACCTTGACCATAGTCACCTGTGGACAAAAAGGGGCATCCTTATCTTTGAATTTTCCTTAGAGCCGGCTGAACCTGTTGGGCAGCCTGGCCATGCAGCGGCTGTACCCTCTGCTTCTGCTCAGCTGTCGTCCGTACTCGGGTGTCAGTCTGTCTCTTTGGTCCTTATCCTCCCCCTCTCCCCAGCACCTGACACCTGGAAACCCTGCTCGGCCATTATCTTGGATGCTCATTCTGTTCCCGCGAGAGGTTTGCATATGACTTGTCCTCTCCCTTTAGTGAGCATGTGACTCCCTGGACAAAGCGAGTCACCCGCCTCTTCCCATGTATCCTCTTGTTCTCACTCTTCAAGATTTATTTACGTGTATATGTGTGTTGCACGCGTGTGCGTCTGTGCACCATCTGTGTGTAATGGCCATGGAAGCCAGAAGGTGGCATAACATCTTTTGGAACTGAACCCATCTCATCTGCAAGAACAGCAAGGTCTCTTTAACCATGACGCCATTTTCCAGCCCCCTCTTAAATTTTTTTTAAAAGATTTTTACATGTATGAGTATTCTGTCTGCACATACGCATAGGCATCATGTGTGTGCAGCACTCAAAGAGGCCAGAAGAGGGCATCAGATCTGGAACTGGAGTTACAGATGGTTGTGGGCCACTGTGTGGGGGCTGGGGGCTGACTGGATTGAGAGTTGTCTAGATTTGCAAACACATCCCTGTCTGCTTCTATGATGACATGTCCAGAAACATTTAGATCAGAAAGGCTCTGACCTCATGAATGGATCAATGACTCGATGGAAGCATCATTTGTTGGCATTACTGGGAGAAGGTGAAAGGTAAGAGGTGGTACTTTGCCGGTGGTGGTGGCGCACGCCTTTAATCCCAGCACTCGGGAGGCAGAGCCAGGCGGATCTCTGTGAGTTCAAGGCCAGCCTGGGCTACCAAGTGAGTTCCAGGAAAGGCGCAAAGCTACAGAGAAACCCTGTCTCGAAAAAACCAAAAAAAAAAAAAAAAAAAAAAGAGGTGGTACTTTATTGACAGGTCACTCACTAAAGATGTGATAGCTTGCCCTGGCCTTTTCCCATGTTCCCATCTCTGCTTCTTGGATGCCATGAACAATCCCTTCTCTACAAGTTCTCCTTGTCATGGTGCTCTAACCTCACTCAGGCCCATGGTCACAGACTGAACCCCCTGAAACTTTGAGCTAGGACACATCATTCTTCCTTTTAGCTTGTATTTATTTTTATGCATATGGATGTTTTGCTACATGCATGTCTGTGTACCACATGGGTACCTGCAGAGGCCGGAAGAGGTTGTCAGATCCCCTGGGACTGGAGTTGCAGATGGTTGTGAGCCACCATGTGGGTGCTGGGAATTGAACCCAGGTCCTCTGGAAGAGAGCAGCAGCCAGTGCTCTTCAATGCTGAGGCACCTTTCCAGCCCCTTATTTTATCGGGACAAGGTTTCACTATGTAGCTCAGGCTAGCCTGAGCCTGCTGAGTGCTAGGATACAGATAAGTGTCATTTTAGGCCACTGTTTGGGGGCAACTTACTACACAGCATCAGGTAGCTGATACGAACCCCCTCACTCCCGGGAGCTTTTGAGACTCAAGGTGTTATAGCTGAGGGTTATCCTGCTGCCTCTAGCCTGTGACCTATGTTCTCCAAACAATACGGAAAGGAGGGAAGAAATCGAGAGACGATCCTGGATAAATCAACATAATAAAATCAGAGAGCAATCAGCCAACATCATCTTTTTTTCCCCTTCATTTAATGAACACTTTACAAAGTACAAAATATACTGTCTTTTTCAGGGGGAACATTAGGTACTTTTTTTTTTTCTCTCCATCATACAGTACACAACTCTCAAGGGTTTTGTTTCTTTGACAAAAAAACGAAAGCATGAAGGCCCTGGAGGTGGAGAGGGGAGAACTCAAGTCCTCCCCTTACCCAAGCTGCAGGACCGATGAAGTACCACGGTTGCTGGTGACCTGGGCATGACGTGCCAGGCGAGGGTCGGCTGGGGCTGTGGGCAGGGCACCCACACCTGCTCCCCTGCCTCAGGATAACGGAAATGATTTTGGCATACAAGAGGAGGGCTGGGAGAACTATTGTGAACATTTTCATCTCCCTGTTGTTTGGGGGTTTGACCCTGCTCCAGCTCTTCCTGTGATACAGGTAAACCGAGGCAACAGAAAGGAGAACCGCGCTAGGCTATGCCCGCGGAGACCTGGATTCTGCCCGTTGCTGGGGTCTTCAGCTTTGTGGACCCTTTTCCAGGATGAGTTCCTGGAAAGCAAAGGGCTCCTCTTGTCTCCAGCCCCTCTCCCTGCGAATACTGTCTTCAGAAATGAAACGTTTGAAGAGTCCCATGGGTGGGCCTGGGCCAGCTCAGGCTGCCTACATGGACTGCCCCCGGGCCTCGGAGGGTAGAGTCTCCTGGGGATTCAGAGAATAGGAAAGGAGCCTATCCCATCAGAAGAACTCTACGTTCCACCCCGGAGCCAGGGCCTGGATCCCCCCCATCTGGTTAACTCTGAGTGGCAGTGGGTTACTAAACACTGCATGAAATAGCTCACAGCTCTGATAGGCTCTGCACATGTGTGCACACACTCATGCCTAATACATGTACGTACACACACACACACACACACACACACACACACACACACTAACCACACAGAACAGCATCCTGACACATGGGCCACCTCCCACTTTTGACTCTCCCAGCTTCCCTCCTCTTCCCAAGTGCCACAAACCGTCACCAC